GCTCCCACTGAGCTGCATATCATTATCTCCATTCTACACATGATAAGTCCAGGCTCAGAGAAGTGGAGTGGCCAGCCCGTGGTCACACAGCAAGGCAGAGCAGGAGCTGTGTTTGAGCTCCAGACCTCGTGCTCGACCCACGCAGGGCCCTGCCTCCAGACTGGGGACGGCTCGCAGCCACCTCCCACCCAGTGCCCTCCACCCACCGGCCACCTTCCCAGGGGCTCACATTTCAGCAGAGGACAGAGCACACAATGCACGAGAAAGCAAAGAGACCATTCCAGATTGGGCCACTTCCTCCACGGACAGCCGGGTGGTCAGGAGGGGCCCCTCGTGGGAGGTGATGTGGGGCTGAGAGCGGAATGCAGGTGGCCCCGTGAGGCCGGTGGGCAGGGCACCCATCCAGGCAGAGAGAACGGTCGAGCCCCCAGGGCACAACAGGCTTGCTGATGGAGAAGAAAAGGCCACCGTGGCTGGGGCACACTGTGTGCCCTGTGGGAGGGGTACAGGACGTGAGGTGGAGAAGCGGGCAGTGGCCAATACCCCCGTCCCCCAGGTCCAAGAGGATCCAGCCACAAACCCCACACCCCCCGCTGGCCCAAACCCCTCTTCTTTCCCTCCTGTCTCCCGGCCTGGCCTCTCTCCTGGGCTCCTGCCCGTTGGGCTCCTGCCCGTTTGCCTCCTGGGTGTCTCCGCCCTCCTCAGGCCCCCGTCTGGCCCCAAACAGAACCCGACCCCCCCCCCCCGTGTCCCCACAAGGTCACCACCTCTTCGTGGGGCCTGCCCCAGCCGAGCACAGACCCTGTCAGTCCTCAGTGGCCGAGAGGAGTGGCGGGGCCCCTCCGTGTTCCAGGGGCTCACGAGCCTGCTGTCCTGCCTCCAGGTCTTCACTCTGCCCTCCTGCACTCCTAGAAATCCCTTCTTCCTCCCCCACCCCACGCCACCTCCTCCAGGAAGCCTTCCCAGACCCTCCTGCCCACAGGCCCAGCCAGCCGGCCCTTTGGTCTCCCAGGTGCCGCTGCTGCAAGCGGGTTCCATATCCTCAGTCCTGCTGCTGGGCCCAGTGCACCTGCCCACCGGCCCACCTGTGGGCGGCGCTGAGTTCCTGGCTGCCTGGGACAGGTGCCCGTCTACCTGCTCACAGCACGGCATTCAGTTTAATCCAGTTAAGCCCCACAGTGTCCTGGGCTCCTTCCTCAGGCTGGGGCAGAGTAAAACCAGGTCTTCCCATGTCCCTCTTCACTGTTTGCCCGGCCCTGGGCAAATGGCCCCCCGAGCCCAGCAATCCTCGCCAGGGAACTGCTTCGGTTTCCTTCTGAAGGCGTCTCTGGACTCGAACCAAGGATGAACAGCCAGCCTCACATGGTCCCCACCCATCGGGGTGATGCATCTGTAACAGGTGCACAGGATGGACACCATGAGTGGACCCCCTGCCAGGAGTCCCAGGCTTCCCGGGGACACAAGGCACATTCCCAGACCCTGGCCCAAGGGCCAACTGGCCATTCAGAGAGCACCTACTGTGTGCAGGGCAGCGGAATAAGCCCTTGTCTTGGATCCCCTCATCTGAGCCTCACGGACAAGACGCCTCAGGCGAGGAGCCCAGGAAGCATCTCAGCCGGGACTTGACCCGAGACGAGGCCTCCTGCAGTGGGCTTGTCCATCTGACCTCCGTGGACGGAGCATCTTGGATGGGGAGCCACGGACGGATGGTCACACGGCCCGGGAAGGCGTTTTCTGGTGCCCGAGCAAAGGGCTTTGGCCGTCTGCTGCCAGCAATCCTGCTCTGAGGCCCCAGCCCCTGCCCCGGTGGCCACCTGGGCCTGTGTCCCGTATGGAGCCGTGAGCCTCGGGCAGCCGATGACGTGTAGCACTAACTCCCGCCACCCATGGCATGCCCGCCCCGACTGCCCCGCAGGAGGCCACGGACGGCAGCCTGGACACGGGGTCCCTGGGGCCAGATGCTGCAGGGGGACCCTGTGCCTGGGGAGGAGGCTTGGGCCTAGAGTTTCGGGTCCCTGGGAAGCTCCCCGGCCCCCAGGCCAGCTGATGTAACACCCCCGCCCCGGCCAGGAGACGAAGCAGCCGGTTCCCTCCCTGGCTTAGCCAGCGAAACGGCCTTCTCACAGCGCCTTCTGATGCCAAGTGCGTGGTTCCCACCCCAGCCAGTTCCCCGCTCTGGCCCTGGCTGGGTGTCCTGCAGGTCAACTTAGCTCTGACGTGAACTACCGGGAGCTAGGTCAAGGGCTCAGTCCCATAAAACGACCGCCACTGCAGACACTCTTTGCAAGTCCTGGCCGCCTGTACTTCTGACCAGCCAGCTACAAACTGGGGTTCCCATGAACCCCTCCTCAGGTCCCAGGGCAGCTCACAGAACCCAGGAAGATGCTGCTTATGTTTACCGGCTTATTATAGGAGATATTACAAAGAGTACAGATGAATGGCCAAATCAAGAGGTGCACAGGGGAGGTCTGGAAGGGTCCGGGGCTGTCCCCTGAAGTTGGGATGACCCCCTCCAGCACGTGGATGTGTTCACCAAACAGGAAGCTCTCTGGAGCCTAGAGTTCAGGGAGTTTTGCAGAAGCTTCGTCTCACGGGAACAACGGGTCCTTAACTCAAGCTCCAGCCCCTCTCTGCCACCACCCACCTGATGGAGGGGGTGGGCCCGAAAGTTCCAAGCTTTTAGTCATTCTGGGTCTTTCTGGTGACCACCTCTCAGAACAAAAACACACCTATCACCCAGGGAATCCAAGGGACGTAGGAGGCCTGTGCCAGGAAGTGGGGGCAGCGGCGGGATATCATTGCTATGCCACACCCAGCCCATCTCAGAAAATGGCCTTGGGCAAGCCCCCACTCCCCATCCCTGCCTCCAAGATTCCGGGAAACTTCCAGTGCCCCGGGGACGATGGGGAAGCATTGGCTGCCGATCTGGTAGTGCCCGGCAGGCGGGCAGCAGGAACCAACTCCGGGGGATGGAGTATACACGCAGGCTGGGGGGCCCCGAGGCAGGCGCTCTCTTGCTACTATGTTTCATCACTTGCCCTTTCCCTTCCCTTTGGCCCTCACTCTCCACAGGGCTGGGGGTGGGGGTGGGGGCTCCTCCTAGACATGCTGCTTGGGCTGATTCCTGTCTCAGGGCTTGCTGCGGGGACTCAGACACGGACCCTTCCTGGGTTGGCCTCTGCCGAAAAGCTGAGGCTTCCTCCTGCCTGGGAGATTGGAGGCAGGGGGTAGGGGTGGGGCTGCTCAGAGCAGAGCTCAGTGAGAGACGTGTCCTGTGAGGGTGGACGCTGAGGAGCCAGGCGCGGGCCACCACGGTCCCCACGGGAGCTTCGTGCGATCTCAGTCAGGTGCCCCTCCCCTGGGCGGCACGGGCCTGCAGGGCAAAGCTGGGCTCTGGCCCCACTCACCCTCGTGGGAGCCGCTAAGCAGCCTGACCTCAGGGCCTGGGCCTGGATGCACATCCTCAGAGTGAAGTGTGGGGGAAGGCGGCCCCTCCTGGCGGTCTCCTGGGTGCCGAGGGCTGCAGCAGCAGGGAGGACCCCTGTGGGGTTCTCATCCCACTCGGCCATCTCCTGCCATGTGCTCCAGGCACGTGGAGACTCAGTTCCCTGCCCCCCCCCACCATGAGGGGGATGGTGCCCCTGGGCCCAGGGTAGTTGGGGAACGCACAACAGGGCCACATGTCCCAGCCACGCTTGGCACAGGGGGGCATTGACCGGATGACCTCTTATGAGGTTGGGCCTGTAAAGTTCTCCCCACTCCGAACCCGCAGCTTTGATCGGGACCAGGGGGCTCTAGACCCCCTCAAAGAGCACCCACCTCTCAAGTCACAGGGTCCCCCTGGGTCAACGCACCCAGGCTTTCCTCCTGGACGGGTGACGGGTGACCGTCCTTCCTCCTCTGTCCCTGAGGGTGAGTCCGTGCCATACCCGCTGTCTGGGTGGCCTCGTGGAAATAGGGTGGCCCCAGAGTCCCACCCAGAGAGCAGTGTGTGGCAGACAAAAAGCAGTGCTGGTGGGGCAGAAGTGGGGCGCTGGGGCCCGCCAGGTAGGGAGGGCTGCAGGTAGCAGGTGGCCCCGAGGGAGCGAGGAAGAGGGGAGTCCTAAGGGGACAGCCGCCCTCACCAGCCAAGGGCTGCGGCGGTCTCAGCAGGGCTTGTTCCTTGGGGCCAAGGACGCCCAGACCAACGTATACCTGCTGTCACTCCCGAACGTCCTCCGAGGGAGTGGAAGGGGAGAAAGGAGAGGATGTGGTGTGGATCCCATGAGAGAAAGTGGGAGGCCGAGACGGCCAGAGCTGGGGAGAGGGGCCCGAGTCAGTGCTGTGACAGGGGCCGGGGACCCAGGCCCAAGGAGCGCATGCACAGGGCAGGGCTGGGGTCGCAGAGACAGACAGACACAGACCCGACCGCGTGGGCCACCAGCCACGTGTGACATGGGGATTTCTGTTCCGTGTCCCTACCGGAGTTGGGGGCTGATGGGCTGGGTGGGTGGCCCCCTGACCACACTGGACGAGCAGATGCGTGGATACAGGCGGAGCAGCAGAGAAGCAAGGCGGGCCTTTTATTGGAGAACTTGTCACAGACACACAGACACGCAGGCCTGGCCGGGGAATGGCCCCGGGCCCCCCAACATCGGCCTGCTGGGGGCAGACTCCCTGCAAGCCGTCTCTCCTGCCGGGGCTGCCTCAGGGGGGTCCCTGCCTCACGTGTGCCGCCTTTTCCTCCTGGCTGGGCTGCGATCCCCAGGTCCCGGGAGCAGGTGCAGGGACCCCGGGACCCGGGCTGGGTGGGTGCTGCGCTCTGGGGTTTGGTTAATGCCAGGCTCCAGTGGAGGGTCCTGCTGGCCAGTCCAGGAAGGGGTGAGGCTGCCGTGTCTGGGGCGCAGGAGAGAGGGGAGGAAGAGTAGGGGCCGAGACTGGGGCCGGGTGGAGGGAAGGCGGGGGCCAGGCCGGGCCAGCTGCGCCCACAGGAACAGGGACCCCGAGGGGGCGGGAGGGGCTCAGGCCTGTGCGTCCAGGGCCCGCACGTGCACGCTGGGCAGGCAGAACCAGGATGGCGGCAGCTCCTTGCTCGCACTGTCCTGGTGGAAGTGGATGTGGAGGAAGAAGTCACCCGTGTACAGGAAGAGCAGGGCTCCGAGGCAGGCCGACTGGCCTGAGGGCTGCACCTGTGGGGAAGAGGGAGCGATGTCAGCCCAGAGCAGCACAACCCCCAATGCCACCAGAAGACCCCTGAACCTGCCTGGAAGTGGGGGCAATGGGGTGGGGGGGAGGGCCCCCCCAAGGGCTTTCCTGCTGTGCTCCCCCAAGCAGGTGGCTGTCCCTCTCTGAGCTGTAGCTTCTGGCTTTGGAAGGAGCATATAGCACTTCCCTCCCTGGACCATCCGGGGGTGCCGGCAGGGTGGGGAGTGGCTGGGGTGAGGTGTCATTTCAGTGGCGTGAGGGCTGCTCTCGGTGGACTTCCCCGGTTCTCCTGGGCCGCAGGCTGCCACGAAGTGGGGGGCGCTGACCGAGAGGGGCAGGGGCCGGGGATGACGGCAGTAAGGCCCCAGGTCTCGCCATCCTGGTTCACGGCCAGGACTCAGTACACAGAGAAGTGAGCTACGTGAGGCCCACGGTGAGTTAGGGAAGTCCCCGTCCTCACCAGGGGAAGGCAGGGGGCACCGGGACAGTGGCCGTGGGGGCCGCTCTGGGGCTCACAGACCGCCACGCACCGCGTCAAGGTAGAAAGTGCTGGAGCCCACGAAGGAGACGGCGTCATGCAGGTCATAGTTGTGCACGCCATTCTGGTGGTCCTGGAAGGGGGCCACGGTGAGGGCGAAGGGCCCCACGCTGCGCGGGCTCTGGTTGGTCAGCCGCACCTCCAGACGCACAGGGTCGCCCACCCGGCAGGCTGCAGCCTCACAGTCACATGGCTGTCCGTCCACCAGCACATCTGCAAGGGTCACAGGACACGAGAATGTCAAGGGCACCGCCCAGCTGGCCTTGCCAACCAGCCAGCCAGCCATCCAACCATCCATCCATCCATCCGTGCATCCATCCGTCCATCGATCCATCCATCCATCCATCCATCCATCCATCCATCCATCCATCCATCCACCCCCTCACTTGCTCCCCCACGAACGCAGCCAGCCCCTCAGTGTAGGCTGAGTGCTGGGACACAGACATGTGGCCCGGTCCTTGCCGTCCTGATGTGCAGGCTGGAGGAGACACGTGTGGGCACCAGATCTGTAACCCAGAGGGTGTGTGCCATGCTGGAGGGGCCCCGGGTCATTTAGGGGTCTCCCAGATGCTCCTGCCTGAAAGGGCTGAACCGAGATGGCAGCCCATGGGGGCTCCTGCAGGTGAGAGAGACTCAGAACCGCAGGGCAAGACTGTGGCAGGGGTGGCGCACGGTGTTTGTAAGATGAACAGCCAGTAGGCACCTGGCTGGGCCTCTGCCACACACACTGTTGATTCACACGCAGAAGGGCCTGCCCAGCTTCCCCCAGACACCCCAGAGGTGACAGGATGCCAGCTGGGGAAAGGTCTGGAACCCAAGGAGCAGAGCAGGGATTGGGGGGCAGAGGTGCGGGGGAGAGGGGG